GCTAGCGTTTTGCAACGGAGTTTTTAGCTTTACAGCTACTTCGTAAAACTAGCTCGTATGTATATCTTTCGCAACTGGTAAGTGATCTTATCTTCGAGCACTATTACAATCGACTTGTAACCAGTACTAACTATCGCAGTAAATTGACAGTAGGCAAAGTGCTTTGTAGAAGATGCACAGGTCATGACTGCAACTTTCCTTCGACGACTTCGATTAAATGATTTATACATACACGAAAGATACTTAACACACAAATATCAAAACCACCATCACAAAACAGAAAATCAAACTGGGTATTATAACACCAACCACCACCACCTCCCCATCCCTCTCCACCAATCTACTTCCCACCAAACCCCAAAGCCCCTCCCAAACCCTTCACCCCATTCCCAACCCCATTCCCAATCCCCTCACCCACCCCCTTCGCACCCCCCACCACACTCCCCCCCGCACTCTTCGCACCCTCCCCAATCTGCCCCGCCACCCCATAACTCCCATCCTCCTCCTTCCCGCCGCGCTCCGACCGGTTAATCCCCTCTTTCGACACCATATTCCCAACCGGCGCCAGGAACCCGTTTTCGCCGAGTTGATTCCCGATCAGGTTGTGCACGTCGTCTTGCACTTGGTCGACTTGTTTTATGCCGGTGATTTTGGATTTTGCGAGGGTGTCTGGGGGGTGTTAGTGGGGTTTGAGGGGAGGGGGGAAGGGGGAAGGGGTGATGAGGGGGTAGACGGACCTTTGGTAGCGTAACTCGCTTTGTTGTCGCCTTTGCCGAACCAGCGGAGGTATTGGTCTTCGATCCACGGCATCCAGCGTTCGTATTGTACGGCGTAGACTTGTGCCGCCCATTCCGAGTATGTTTGTTTCTTCTTCTGTTCTTCGGGCAACTCGTTGTATGCTGCCTTCTTCTGCTCCTCGGTTGGTTGGGCCATGCCGGTTGCGTTTTTGAGGGTGTCCATTTTCGTCGCCTGTTTATTTATATCTGATGGAATATTATTCGATTCTTATGATGATAAGTATTTGTGGTTTGGAGTTTAGGGTGTGTATGGTGTATAGAGGAACAGATGTGGCTGAGTACAGCCTCATAAATATATTCCCCATCGCATCTCCATGACGTAGAATCTGGTAAACGCGATTTCAAGATCTGAGATGGGGCGCAAACCCGGTTTTGCGTTCGCAGGTGATCCACTGGGAGTGTGTCGGATTTGCGCAGGGATTTGGGGGCTTGGCTGGATCGTGTTGGAGAGTGCAAGATCTTTTCTGAGGGTTTATATAGTGATTTTGGTATAGAATTCTAATGAAATTGAGACCTCAACATGTGCTTCTTTAGTACACAATGGGTAGTTTAGCTGGGCTACGCTAGGTTGCATTGTACTCTGTAGGTTGAGATGATCTGCGGGAGTTTGGTGTCTCGCTTAATTGTGGGGATAGCTAGAGTGTCGTTGCTGACGTATGACTGCCAGCGAAGTATTATAAGAAGGATATGGTTAAGCATTCTTATAGTATAAAAAGTTTATTTTGATCTTGGTTTTCCCGGTGCAACAAGATTTGTAATCGCGGCATGGAAACTCAGATGAGTTTTCCGGACTGACGACCATTGGCTAAGCGAGCATTAGGCCTCCGAGATTGAATAAACTGGAAGGAAGATAACTCCCCTATAGTCTTGTGGTACTTTGCGTAGCGGCGATCTCAGGATAACTTTGGACGAGGATTCTATTAGTCTTCGCTAGCGATACAGGGTGGTTAATTCGCCCAATGTCCAGTTTACCCCCCGTACTGAAATCCGCCCCTGAGAGTACCGCAATACCATTGGGGAGATATAAGCTTGACGTCTCTGAGGCCTCTTGCTCTTAGATCTGTTTGGTATCCATGAACGACATGAAAGTGGCTTCAATAAATCGATCTTGCACCATGCTTGACGCAAACGGCAGGGGTTTGAGCCAGGGGAATTTGATTGGAGGCCTCTTCAGGCAGCTGATATTGGTTGTGTTGGTTGCCCAAAATCAGTTTCATTGGTGGCCTCCCGATAAACAAGCCACATCAACCCAGAGCCTCGTTCTGCGTGTGAACATAAATATGGCAACTTGGTACGACGATTTAGTGCCTCATTTATTCATTCTCCAAGTCCACAAGCCAAATCATCAAACGGGCTGTGGAAATCACCCTACTGTCACTCAATTCCGAGTAGGCAGGTTCCGCCTCTGAAGTGGCGGATTCCTGCATTCTCGATCCCTATTCTCAATAAAAGTCAAGATCATTCCCAACAACGATTTATTGCTTGCCCGCGAAAATTCGTCAATCCCCGAGAGATAGTTACACACCAAAGCAATCATGAGCCATTGAATCATGAACTTGCAGAGGTTCTTCAATACGATGTAGAGGTTGA